GCCTTTAATCCCAGCACTTGGGAGGCAGAGGCAGGCGGATCTTTGTGAGTTCGAGGCCAGCCTGGTCTACATAGTGAGTTCCAGGACAGCTGGTGCTACAGGGAGACCGTCTCAAAAAAGGACCAAAAAAAAAAAAAAAAAAAAAAAACTCAGGGGGGCAAAGTATTATAAAAAAAAAAAAAAAAAAAAAAAAAAGAGTCAGGTGGGCTAAGTATTAAAGGATAACAGCCCCAAGCAGGCTGGGCCTCTCCTTCACCTATCCACCCACCAGAGGTTCGAATCCACAAGCCCCCTTGCAAGAGGGTCGGTTAGCAGACCTCACTGACATACTGCCAAATCCAAGAATACTAAATCTACAAAGTCAAATGAGCATCACATGGGTGGTCAGTCATGAAGCCAGGCCTGAAACTCAGACAGTTTCGTCAAAGACAAGCCATGTTGGATGGATGCCTGGCCTGACATCAGGTCCACTTTGCATCTAGGAGCTGGAGGAAAGGGTTTATTTACAAGGCTGGGTTTCAGGCATTCCTTATGTGCTGCTGCTGCTGCTGCTGCTGCTCCAGCTGCTGCTGCTGCTGCTGCTGCTCCTGCTGCTACTGCAGAGCAAACCCAACTCAGGACTCTTCCCTCCTCCACAGCTGAGACTGTGGCAAAGCCAAGCCTCTGAAACACACAAATGCCGACCCACAGACCAGCATCATTTGATCCTGGTAAAAATCCTCCTTCCTCCTCCTGCAGAATCTCCTAGAATTCCAACCCAGAATACTAAGCTATTTCAGCAGAAAGAAACCTCCAGATAACCTCATTTTAAAGTATGAAATAGGGCTAAGAAAGTAACCAAGTGACAGAGCACTTGCCTATCATGCATGAAGCTTTGGGTTTGATCTCTACCACACACAAAAAAGCTGCCAGGTCTGTTTGTGAGTGCCTGTAATCCCAACGTTGACAAGACCGAGGCAGAAAGAAGTCAAGTTCAAAGTCAGCCTAAGCTACACAGTGAAATGTCTCAAAAGAAAGGGGAAGAGCCCAAGGGAAAGGGACAAGTCTAATAGTACCTTGCTATCCCTGGCAAGCCTCCAGGATGTTTATTGTTGATACCAAATTCCCAGGCCTGAATTCCAGAAGATGCTTGGTAAATATGAGCATCAACAGACTCCTGAGTCCCTTCTGGGAACTGTACAAGCAGGGCCCAGTGAGTAAGGACACAGCGATAACTTGGTCTGAGATGTCTCTGTGAGCACATTTCCAGAAAGCTGAGTTGGCCCAGCTAGCTCCAGGTTTCTCAAGGACAAGAACCTCCCAGACATTTTCCTGCTGCAGGAGCCTCCAAGAAGACCCAGCTCAGCCTGGCAAGGAGAACACTGAATAAACAGGGAGGCTATATTCTCAGATGGAGAGACTCCAGCTGAGCTCACAGAAGCCCTCCAACTAGTGGTACAGTCCCTTACACTTCCCAAGCCTCAGTTTCCCTATCTCTACTAGAAAGCTTGCACGACATAACATACATGCAAGCACTTCCTTAAAAATTACAGTGGAGCTGGGTGTGGTGGTGCACGCCTTTAATCCCCGCATTTGGGAGGCAGAGGCAGGCGGATCTCTGTGAGTTCAAGGCCAGCCTGGTCTCCATAGTGAGTTCCAGGACAGCTGGAGCTACAGGGAGACCCTGTCTCAAAAAGACCAAAAAAAAAAAAGATTACAGTGGAAAGCAGGTAAGGTTGCTCACTCTTATAATCCCAGCTCTCAGAAGGCTGAGGCAGGAAGATGGTCATGAGTTTGAGGTCAGGGTGGACTATAGAGTGAGATCCTGTCTCTAAACAAACAAAAATTACAATGCAGACACACAAGGTTCCCCACCATCTACAACTCAGGTCTCCCAGCAGGAAGAGCAGGAAGGAGAGAAGGAGGAGAAGCACAAACATAAACCCAGGAAACCCAGGCTGGCCAGTCATCCTACGCAGGACACTTTCCCAAGACCCAACCCATAGCTTCACTTCTCCACTTCCCCTGGGAACCTCATCTGCAAAAACCTTAGAGAAAAGGGATGAGGGAGCTTCAAAGTCACTCCTAAATTAGAGACAGACAGGCAGGTGGGAGGGGAAATGAACTCCACAAGAGTGTGTTAGTGTACATAGAAGACTCAGAGAAGGAACAGGAATAAACAACACCACTGAAAACAAGATGGTCCAAAGCCCATCTGCTGGCCAGCCCGAGGCTCCATTCTACCAGGGTACACATTTAAAAGGTTGACTCTAGTACCTGCCTGTCGTAGGTGGAGCACCTCCCAAAACTTGGCTCCAACCACCTGCCAAAGGGCCTTGTTCACCCCCTCAAGGAAACAGAACATGCCACACTTGCAGAGGGCACAGCTCAACCTCACAAGGAAAGTGTCCCTAGGGACAAATTAGCAGTAGCTGGGCCCTGGGAAGTTAAGCAGGGTGCCTTCTGTAGGAACGAGTGGAGAGAGGCTCTGCCCTCTGAGACAGTCTCAAGGTCGCCAGCATGGACTGCAAGGAGTTCAAGAAGAATGAACCCTGCCCTCTCTGGCACCCATTTCCCCATCTGTAAAACAAGGGCTAGACAATGAAATGATCTCTTCTGGCTAAGATAGGATTTTTACAAGGCATGACATTCAACAAAACCACTCAACCCAGCCCAATCCAGTCCAGCAATCCTCCCTGGCGCTGATACTGCCTCAAACATTTGGAGCAGAGTTCAAGTCATTTCCCAACATTCCTGGTCTTTTTCATCAGTAAATTCATAGAGAATTCACTATCCGTCAATACAGAAGTGTCGCACCCCCAGATCCTGAACGTCAAGATTGCAACTATGTCCACCCACAATGTCTCCGGGGCCACTCAGACCACTCAGGCTTTCACAACAAACAAAACACAGTCAAGGCGGGGGTCACTAGCTCAACAGTTGGAATGTTTAGCAACCTATATATATATGGCCACCAGGGGGCACTGCCCTGAAAGTAATAAGCAACAGAAAAACTCTTTTTTGGTGTTTTCTTTTCCTTCTTAAGCTTAAGCTACAAAACATCTACAGCTACCCTAATGAAAGGACACAGTGGGTTCCTGGGGTTCTAGAACAACTCAGAGACCTTCTGCCATCTCTTTGAAGCCAGTATTTGGGCAAAAGAAGGCAATTAAACCTTGAATCCAACAAGACCTTCCAGAGACATTAATCAACATTTCCCTGAGAACGACTGACACCTGGGGAGCCCTGAGGACCCTGGCCCCTCCAAAGCCAAGAAAGCCCACAAGGGCAAGCCAACTGAAGATCTGGCATAAGGACCCAATCCTTAGTCTCGCCTAGAATAGTGTTTGCTAGAACCTGCTAATTACAGAATAAAGCATGCCAGGCCAACGACAAGCCTCAGTTGTAGACACAGGGTGACACAAATCCAGACAGCTATCAATAAAAAGTACAAGGGATTAAGTGGGGTTTCCCAAGTATTATAGACAGCAGGGGGAGCTCCAGCACCTCGCATCAGAACTGGATTTCCAGAACATGCCAGAGGGGCTTCTCCAAATTTCTTTGCTGTCTAAGGCACCCTTTCCACAAGTGTCTTTATTTATGGTACAAACGTCCAACTGTCCTTTTTCACAATAAGTTCCACAAGCCATGGGCTTTTTTCAAAGCTCTGGCTTCGAGTTCTCCCTGATTTCCTTGTGAATTCTGGACTACCCTGCACACCCAGCTGACCATGAAAAGCCTGCCTGTCTGAGAAAAGGCAGCCAAACCCACACAGGGACCAAGGGGTGCAGAACCAAGGGCCCCTTATAAACAAGCATCATCTCTCCAGCTGGGAGGAAGGAGGGCCTGTGAGGTTTGTATGGGGTGGAGGAGCAGCAGGCTCCTGGATAGCGATGAGGGGCCCTGTGCTGCCAGGCCTCCCTGTGACTGCCAACTCAGACTGCTACCCACCCTGTGCACCAAGGGATGAGGAAACCCAACTGTTCAATTCTTCAAGACCTGGGGGACCCACCAAGGTTGAAAATACAAGTGAAGCCCATTTTCAAAAGTCAAGTCTACCAACTGGAGACACTGCTTAACAAAAGGGTTCCACCTGGAGTTTGCAAAAGGCTGGATTCTCTCAGGCATTCATTGCGAAGAGGCTGTAACCAACAGCTTTGCAGAGGCAAAGCCGCCTTTGCAGAGCCAGGCAAGGCACACCTGACTCAAGATTCAGCACTTCTGTAATTTATTAAGAATATGACCCATCAAAGCCCCTAGTCTCCACCACAGAAGCACCAGCACAGTGGGAACCTGCCTCCCAGCCCAGATGGCAGAACAGCATTCTACCTCGCAGACATCCACCCATCACTCCCTATGCACGGCCACTCCTTAGCCCTGGGACCCCAGGCAGGCATCCTACCTCTCTCTGATGGGTGTCCCCCTTCTCAGACACGTGGTCTAGAATCCACTACCCTGGCTCATATGCAAGGCTGCTGCGAGGCTCTAATGAGACAGCAAATCACCACAGACAAGCCAAGTATTGCTATTCCTTTTAACTGGGCTTTCAGCCGGGTGACATGCAATGACAGTTTCAGGAGCTGAGCACACGCGAGGCACGTAGTAGGCGCCACGCAAACGCTGGTACCCTTCTCCACCAAGGGGAAGGAGAGGAAGGAAGAAAAACACGCCAGTCCAAAAAGTATCCTCAAGCCCCTGACTGACAGCATGGAGTCTCGGATTCCCCGGGTCCCACCGTCCACCCCAGGCAGCGACCCCGCCGCCCTGGAGAACTGGGGGTCCCCCCGGCCGGGTCCCATTGCACCTGAGAGCCGCGGTCAGAGCCCATCGCCCACACCGGCCCCGGCTCCCCTCGGACACAGCCCGCGGCCCCCCGCAGCCACCTGGCTGCTCCGAGCCAGCCTCCCCGCGCACCGCTCCTTCCCGTTTCGCTCTAGCCCACCCCTTGCCCGCCGGGGGGAGCCAGGCTCGGGCCGGGGGTGGGGGGTCCCCGGGGCGCCGGGAGCCGTGTCCCTCCTTACCTGCACAGCTCGGCGAAGGCCTGGAAATTGAGCTTCTTGATTTTCTTCTCACTCAGCCAGTAGCCAACTCTCTTCCCTTTCAGAAAGGTCTGCATCTTCTTCCTCCTCGGGCGGGGAGCCTGGGTCCGGAGGAAATCGCCCACAGGCCGACTGTGTGGGGCCGGCGCGCGCCGCGAGCGTGCGGGCACCTCCTCCGGCGGCGGGGACGCGGAGCGGGCTCCAGCGCGCGGTCCTGCCGGGCGGGGTGG